GGGGAAAATGCGTGTCTATGTAGGCCAAGCTAGGTCATTTACAACAGAGTCTGTGTGTTGATTCCTGGGATCTACCCGTGCGCGAGCACACACACACACACACACACACACACACACACACAAACACACACACATACACCCTCCCTAGGGCACACAGCTGCCCCTGGGGTATCTAAGCCAGGAGGGTTTGTTCTAATCACGTGGAGTGTCTGCCATGGCCCATGTGTCTCTGGGCCTCCCTGAATCCTTTGAGAATTTAGAACATCTGCACACACACACACACTACCCGCCTCATTTGTAGCAGACGGGGGAGGAGGTGTCAGTGGAGGAATTGCTGTTGCATTAGGTTCAAACACTCAAACACAAAATTCCATGTACACAAACTGTGTGTCTACAAATCTGTGGCCACACACATACCCACACACACACACACACACCTATTCACTGAAGACAAACCAGGGTGTGGTGGGCTGCTATGTTGTACTCAGGAACAGTCTACACAACAACCCAGGTGAAGGGGAAGCTCAGACCACACACAGACTCAAGGTGAGGGCAAGAGGGGTGATTCGGTGCATCTACACATCTACACATGTACACACACGCTGGGGTGTCCACACGTCTCGAGCATGTGCCGGCGGCATGCATGTTGGTGTGCATGTGTGATCACGCCTGCTGCTATCTACGTGCGGGGGCAGGGGGTGGTCCATGGCAGGGTGAGGCCCAGGAATTCCAGGGTCTGCCGTGGGTGGAAGAGGGAGTGGGGTTGCCTGGGTCTGTTCTGGGGGTGAGCTCGGAGCAGGAGTGAAAGGGGTGGTGGGGGTATTGCTCCCAATGTGGTGGGGGAAGGGTCTAGGAGAGATAGGGGTGAGGGGCCTACAATCCCAGCGTCCCCCCAATGGATGACGCCAAGACCACCCCCAGCACCACACAGCAAATGATGATCATGATTTTCTTCTGCAGGTAGAAAGATGAGAGAAAGAGTGAAAGACAGAAACAGAGTGATAGAGAAGGAGACAAACCAACAGACAGATGGGGGAGAAGACGGGGGAGGAGGGTGAAAGGGAAAAGGGGAGAAAAAACAGAAATAGGAAGAGGTCAGAGCCAGAGATAAGGCCTCTCACCCGATTTCAACACTCAGCTCAGCCTTGGCCTGAGCCCAGCCCCACCCACCAGGCTCCTGGTCTCCCTGCCCCCATCAGGCCACCTGCCCTGGCTCACCCTCCGCGCCTTGCTCTGATATTTCACAGCTTTCTTGGTGTCGGACACAGCTCGCTCCACATAGTCCACGGAATGTTCCACGTTGTACTCGATGCGGTCAATCATCTCCCCCTGCAGACAGAGGAAGTGTGCACAGGGAGAAATGGGGGCTGGGCTGGGAGACAGAACCTTGGGGACCAGGGCAGCTCCTGGGGTGGCATGGCAGAGCCAGTACCTGGCTTTCCACAAGCATGGCCATGTCCACGAACATGTCGTGCAGCTCACGGATGCTGGTTTCCAGTTTGATGATCTCATTGTGCCTCGTCTCAATCTCATTCAGTGCCTGCTTTGTCATCTGCGAGTCCATTTTGATCTAGGACCATGGGAGTTAGGGAAGAAAGGCAATTACCCTTTGCCCCTGTAAGAGCTTCGATTCAGCAGCCAGAGAGTCTAGGTTCAAAACTGAATGTCATTTACTAGCTGTGACCTTGGGCAAATTTAACCTCTCTGGGCCTTGGTTTTCCCACCTAGAAAACATGGATCCTAACAGCGCCCGCCTCACTAGGCTGTTGTGAAAATTGAGTAAGTTAATATGTAGTATATCAGGGGCTGGGATGTGGCTCGGTGGTAGTGTTTGCGTAGCATGCATGAAGCCTTGAACCCAGGGCTTCAGGCATGCTAGCAAAAGCTGATAACCCCGCCCAATCCCTTGGCCACGCCCCACACCTCTGGTTGGCTCTGGACCCAACCCACCCATCTGCAGCTAGGTCGCCTCTCTGAGCACCATTAATAAATAAATCATAAATAAAACATAAATATTTCTTTTTTAAAAATCAGTATATCAGTTGGAATACCTGGCACTAAAAAGAAATTTTGTTTGATTATAAGAAATAAGACTTGTCCAGAGCCCACCACCTTGCCCAGGAGCTTCCTCTAACACGCACACCAGGGAAGGAAGCCCAGGGAAGAAAGATGTCAAGGGCAGCAGGTGAGAAAGTGGCCCAGATGAGAAGGCAGTGTGCCCACAAGTTGCCTAGAGCCTGCATGAGATGAGGCAGGGGATAAATAATAGTAAAATGTACTACAGTCCTTGAAATTCAAGTCATGGGGAGAGACTCCAATTCATAGTCGATCTCCCCTGCCCCCAAATTCTTGGCTTGAGCTGGTCTACTACTAACTTACCAAAGTTTAGACCGTGTTAAGCTACTCCTTTTCTCTAAAGCCTTCAGGACTCCCCACTACCTCAGCCTACACACCTTTATTTTGAGAGTCAAGGCCCATTCTCCCTTTTTAGCACACACTCTTGCTCATCCTATAAGAATCAAAATCACCCAGTAGATGTTTGGTAAATTGTCTCCTCTTCCTGTTTTTTTGCTTTGTTTCATTTAGTTTTTTTTCAGATTGTTCTCTTTGCCTATTTTCCCCTGTCCAAAATCTCCTTGCTTCTTGAGAGACTGCTTAATATCACCTCGCCCAGGAAGTCCTCCACAGCCCTCAGCCCAGGTCCTGACCACCCTGCTTTATAATGATGGGTTTCTATTGTAATTATGGTGGGCCAGTTGGCAGGGTCAGCTCTTGTCCATTGAAATGACCCCCTTGGAACTGTCCACCAGGTTTCCTCCATTCTCATACAGACAGACAGATGGCCTGGCTGCAGGTGTTTGGAGAGAAGGAGCTAAATGGCCCACAATCAATTTGCCCAAAGTAAATTCAACAAAGACCAATTATCCAAATAACAACTTACTGAAAACTATTAAGACAATCACAGCGCATACTTTAAAGCTGGTAGAGAACCATTACTCAGACCACTCGCCTTCAGAAGCAAAAATAGGACTGAGTAGGCCAGGAAAAAAATCCATAAGGAGAAAGAATTGCGGTTAGGGGAAAGCTCATCAAGTCACATATAATAACAAGGAAAGGAAAGTGTGCAAAACGTAAGCAAAACTAAACTTATGTTTTAAAAATCTTCAAAACGTTCACAAATGCACCATATGGTGAATGACATGCTTCAGGCGGGGAGCATGTAGTAGATCTGAGAAGTGGAGAGTCCTGACTCTCAGATGGTGGAGTCAAATCTTTCTGAGCCAGATTTCCTCATCTAGGCCCCCCCTGAGAGTTGTGGAGAGGATGAAATGAGTTAGTAAATGTAAATGTGTAAAGTGCTTAGAACAATGCCTGGCTATTGTTTGCCAGTTTTATGGGGATGCCTTCCTGCCCTGCCCCCACGGAATTCCCCAGTTCCTCATCCAGTCTGCCCACTGCTAGTTAGTTATTCCAGGGTGGACTTAGGACCTAGGTCCAACCTGAACTTGGGGAGGAGAGGCAAAGGATTTCCAAAAACAGACTCCGCCCCCACCCGGGGGCTCACATCATCCGTGAAGATGGCCAGTTTCCCGCTCTCCAGCATGTCTTCCAGTTCTTCATTGGTCGTGGTCCTGCCGGCTGTGGGGAGAACCGACTATCATCTGCTCAGGGACTGGGCCTGTCAGGGGCCCTGAAGTGGTGGGGATGGGGCAGGGACCCGGGAGTCCACCCTCCCAGCCGGCTTGGGTCAGGCGTTCCCCTCCACAGAGAGGAAGGGCCTGGAAGGGCGCTTGGGCAGCCGCGGGAAGCATGGGGCAAAGGGCACACGCACTGATCTCCAGCTGTCGCTGGATCCGGTCCTTGCAGCGGTCCCGATACTTGGACTGGGTCGCGTTATATTCGGTCATTACCTCCACGAACTTCCGGGAGAGCGTAGAGTGCTGGGGGGTGGGTGTGGGGGCACACACACAGGGAGTCAGGGAGCCCAGAGGGAAGCAGCACGTGGACGTTTGAGGAGGGGAATGGCCTCAATTAGTTTACGGGCCTCTCTTCAACTCGGCCACGACCTCACAAATTCAGACTCTGATTCCCCCACTGGGAATCTCCACCCTAAACCAGCGGGTGACCCCCCAAAAGTGGCTGGGTTACGCCCACCTCTATAACCCCGCCCAATCCCTTGGCCACGCCCCGCGCTTCTGGTCGGCTCTGGACTCCGGCACCCAACCCGCCCAGCTGCAGCTAGGTCGCCAGACCCAAGTGCCGCCCCAGCTGGGCCCGCCTCCTACCTGGGTCTTGCGGATGCGCAGGTCCGCGGAGGAACGGTTCAGTCCCTCTTCTTGTTCGATGCTTTGCTCGATCGCTGAGAGAGAGAGGACGCAGTGAGGCACAGGAAACCTGGGGCATGTGGGTCCCAGGTTTATGAAGGATCGACAGGGGAAGCAGGCTCCAGGCCTGGGAAGACGTGTCATGCCCATGGCGAGGGCGGGCAGTAGAGAATCCAGGGTTAGGGGCAGGCCAGCAAAATGCACAGATGTTTGTGGGGTTCCAGAAGGCAGGTAGATTGGAAAGTTGAGGGTCAAAAGGTCACCAATTAGAAGGGGGGCTAGACATGGGCAGAAACATACCCTGTGGTTTTAGTTCTTTTCATTGGGGGTGTTTTGTTTGTTTTGTGTTTTGGTACTGGGGAGTGAGCCCAGGGGCACTTTACCACCGAGCCACATCCCCAGCCCTTGTTCCTATTTTATTGAGAGACAGGGTCTCTCTGAGTTGCTTAGGGTCTCACTGAGTCGCTTAGGGCCTGGCTAAGTTCCTAAGGCTTGCTTTGAGAACCTCCCTTCTCAGCCTCTCTAGCTTCTGGGATTCCAGGCCTGTGCCACCTTGCCCAGCTATTGTTTTAGTTTTGAGACAATGTTTCATTAAGTTGTCCAGGCCAACCTGGAACTTCTGGGCTCAAGCCATCCCTCCTGCCTCAGCTTCCTAAGTAGCTGGGCAAGTCACCACACCTGGGTCCCCTGTGATTTTTTGGTGGAAGGCAGACACTTCCAGGTAGGTGGGGTTCTAGCGGCCACCCTTTCCTTAAAGAATTCTAGGGCAAACAGATGGATGTTTCAACAGAAAAACAGCCCTCCCCCTGCTCTTCGAGGTGATCCCTGTCCTGGGAGTTTCCACTTCTAAAGGATGTTCTGGGAAAGCGCACAGATTAACTGGGATTCCTGCTTCTGGATCATGCACTCCTGACACTATCATTCAGATTTTTTAAAAAAAGGAGCCTGCAGTAAGATCTACTTTAGTAAGATCAGAAAATGCAGCAGGAATGAATCACCAGGCCTTCTCAGACCTCACAGGGCCTCCAGGCCATTCCTGAGAACATCACTTCTCTGTTTTGCTGGCAGCAGGGAAGGTATGGGGCTGGATGACACCCCAAGGATCCCCTGCCAGCAATAGCAGGCACAGTGACTGAGTGACAGTTCTGGCCCAGCTGATTCAGGAAAATCACAGGAACACATATCCAGGGATACTGGAATCTGCTGTCCCAGCTTGGGGCCCTGTTGTCAGCTTTAGGGTTAGAGCCAAGTTGGGATGGAGGGGTCTTTTACTGTAGGTCACTGATTTTTTTTTTTTTACAATCATCCTGGGGGTTCAATGATACCAGCTCATGCTTCAAACTAGAAATGAGTCAAAGGGATGAAACTGCTCTTTCAAGGTCACACTTAGGGCGCCTCAGTTCATGTCTGCAAAAAGAGATTGGACGAGATGAGAATCTTCTCTTTTTTTCTGGAGATATGGAGGGTCAGCTTCTTAAACCACTGCCTCTCTTATTTCTGGGTCTATTCATGAACCCTGAATCACAGAGCTCTCCTCCGGGTCTTCTGAAGAGCATTCAAGGTCGGAGCTCAATGAGCACAAAGAAATCATTGAGCTCAGGGGTTTTAAGCTGCGATCTAGGAGGACCCGAGCTTTTGAGAAGGAACCTCAGGGGCTATTGCAGAGACTGAAGGGAAAACCAGGCAGGTAGAGGCTCCCAAACCCAATTCAGCCAGAGCAATCTTTTATATGTTTCACATGTTGAAGGGTTTTTGTAAGATTTCATTAGAAGAAAAAGATTTTTATGCTAAAAAGAGAAACGGAAAGAAAAAGAAGGCAGTTTTGAAATTGGTGTAATTTCTCTTAGTATACCCATGAGCAAGCTGAGAGGGAGGAACTTGTCCAGAGTGAGTTAGAGTGGAAGCTGGATTCCCTCTGCCTGGCTTGGCTCTTAATGTGACCCTCGGTTAGGGCATTTTCCATTCCAGCACACTCACCCGAGTGCAAAGGACTTGATTTTATGAATCAGCACCAGAGATTCACATATGTCCTCCCCTTGAATCCGGGAGGACTTGGAGTTTCTGTCCCTGGGACCAAGGTCAGCGCTGTCAGGCCAGACATCTCATAAAGTTCCTTTCCCCAAAGCCTGAGACATTAGAGGTGCTTGGCAAATATTTCTGATGCTGAATTACTATGAGCACACAAATTACCATCCCGGTACCACTGCTATTCCCCTGGCACCAGCAGACAAGGAGGTTCCCAACCCACAGTGCTTTGGGAGAAGGTGGTTATTACCAGCACCCAAGTCCTTAAATTAGAGTGAATACATGAGCATTTGGCAAGTCCCTCCTGAAAGCTTGCCAGCCCCTGATGTCAGCCACACAGTCCAATCTGTCCTGAGCCGAGGATACCAATTCAGAAGCCTTTGCTGAGCCCACCTACTGGGTGATCAGTGCTAAGCTAGGGACCTGTTCAGGAGGAATGAGGACTTAACAACACCAAAGCCGCTTGGAAGATTCCATTTTTCTGATGGACCTTTATGCAGAGCTCAGATGCAATTTAAACAGAAACCTTTCCTCTCCCTTATTTTCCTCTCAAGTGTTTTTCTCCAAAGAATCTGGATCAAGTGGGCCAAACCAGGCTTGGGTGCTTTCTCACCATTCAGGAATCTAGCTCCTGGAAGTCTGTGGACATTCCTTAGAAAAGGCCAGTTTTGTCCAGTGGAGACAGAGTTCTTTTTTTTTTTTTTCCCTAGTAATGGGACTGCATTCCTCACCTTTCAACTTGGACCGAACCTTGTTGGCCGTCTTCTTGATGTCTGCAGTGAGGTCCTCCAGTTCCTGTTTGGTCTCTGAGGGGAGGGTGAGGAGGGTAAGTGAGAAGTCTGGGTGGGACCCTAGGCCTCCCCCTACCACTGACACCTGGTGGCAGCACTCACTCTCATCTGGGTTGGGGGCAGCCAGGATGGCACTGTGCTGTTTTTTCACCTGCTCTACATCTTCCGACAGTTTCTCAATGCAGCCTCGGATCTCTTCCACCTGGAGCAGAAAAATTGGTGATACCCAGTCAAGTGGTTGGGCCAGATGAGGGGATCCAGGGTAATCAGCCAGGAAAGGAAATAAGCCGGACACAGATGGATGGATAAAAGGACAATGAGAGTGAAGAATAGAGAAGGGGGGGGCGGTGCTCAGAGAAAAGAAAATGGCTGGCGAAGGGCCAGGTTCTGGGTCTGGGGCCACTGGGGACTCATCACCTGTTCAAAGAACTCATCCATAAAGTGGTCCCGATCCACGTGGACGACCTCCTCCTCATCATCACTGTCTTTCGCCTGCAAGACAAAGGAAGGCTGAATCCATGAGCTGTCCCTATCTTGGTCCCCCAGGCTGGCTCTCTGGCCCTCTTCCCACGACACATTTCTAGATATTCTAAGCTCAGAAAAGAGGTCTTGGGAGGGGTCCTAAGTAGGGGAGATGGCAAGGGCACCTAAAGGGGGAATGAGCACCTGATATACCTTGTGGAATAAGGTCCTGGAGACCAGGGTAGCTGATAACTCAAAGGACACCTTGGAGGGAATTAACAAAAGGCAGGTGGATGTGGCCTTATGGGTACCTGGAATCAGATGGTATTCAGGGCTGCTGCTACTGACCCATCAGTATGAACATATTTCAATATTTTAACAACCAGCTAAATGTCAGCCTTGCAATAATTGGCTCTGGGATCCAAGAGGGACTCTGGAATGGTGTCCCAGGAGCCTGAGTGTCCCTGACATCCCCAGCAGTGGCTGCCCAGGCCTCACTTTACTCTGCTACTATTTACACCCCCCTGCCCCCACCTGACCAGCCATGTCCCCTATACAAGGTCACTTCACTGCTAGCAGCAGGCGCCAAGCATGGTGAGGCCCAGTGAAGGCTGGGTGAGATGCAGGCAGCGCCCAGACCTCCCTAGTTCCCTGCAGCTCCCCCCAGCACTCTCACTCCCCCCTCAGCCTACTCTTTTTCATGTATTCACTCTCTTTTATCCAACCCCTTCCAACTGCACACCCACCTCCTCTCACTGGCTTGGATTTCCCAGTCGCAACCTGCAGCTGCTCAGCCCTCCACCCTCAGGGCTCAGAGACACAAAGGGATTCACCCACCCACACCACCATCGCCACCAACAGACAGACCAGTGACACAGACAGAAGTGCACACAGAAATAGGCCCCCGACACCCACGTGGAGACACGCTGTCATGTTGAAGCTCACCCGCACACAAACCCAAGCAAGGCTGCACGTGGACACACAGACCTTCGGGCGGTGCCCCTGGGGACATTGAGGAGGGCCCTGGAGGTTTGTTCTCCCAGCCTCTCTGAACCTTGGGTTTGCACATTCATTTAGAGCTGGGCAAAGGGCACAGGGAGGGCTCCCCAGGGCTCTCCACTCCTGACTCCAGCTCTTCTCTGCTTGGGACAGAGGTCTGAGGGTAAAATCTGAGCCCATCAAGCTTAATTGTGTCTGGAGCCCTAATCAGCCCCAGTGGAAATTTCAACAGAGTTCATCCTGATTTCTAGAAAGACTCTGGCCAGAGTTCGGACAGAAGTTCATTTGGAGCCTGAATGAAATCAAGACAGGATCCAAACGGAATCTAAAGAGAAGAACTAACAGGATCCAAGTCGAATGCAGTCAGGCCCTCGCAGAAACCAGACAGGCTCAGACCAAACTAGGCTAGGCTCAGACAGATCCCAGACAGCTCAGATCGAACCACCGAGACACGGCCAGATGGGACCTCAATGCAATCCAGACAGCCGAGAGAGCGTGGAATCGGCAGATCCCCGACAGCATGGGAAAGAGCCCGCACAGCCCAGAGGAGCCCTCCCACTGGACGCCCCCAAAGCCGCCCCCATCTCCTGCCTAACTCCTGCCCCAACAGAATTTGAGGGATTCTCCACACAGACTCCAGGCCCACACCAAGTCAGAACACATGTCAGACACTTGAAGACAACACCAAATATCTGCCTAGAGAGGTGGGTGCCTCTGTCACAGCCCATAGCTGCCCCCAGAAGGAGGAGTGGCACAGGTGGATCTTGGGGACCCTGATAGGACTTGAGGCTTCTCAAGCCTCCACCCCAGACATTGGCCCTGAGAGGTTCTGGGATGTGGGGCTTATCTCTGAGGACCTGCTGGTCTCCCATGATAGTTTCTAACATCTCAGTCCTCAGAACCCAACTACCCTATGAGGCCTCCTTCCCCTAGAGCCAAGAGCCTTGCTGTGCCCCTTCTGTTTCTGCACACTCACGAAGCCTTCGCCCTACCTCACAGGGGTCAGGATACCCTCACTAGCCTTAGCATGTGGGAACTTTCCTGATCTGTCTTTCCCTTTCCCATGCCAACTCTAGGAAGTCCTTCCTAAAGTCTGATTTCACTCTCTCTTCTTGTTCTCAGAGCCACTTGCCTTAGATTCTTCCTAGAGTATCTTGGGCTACCTGTTTACTTGCCCTTGAGAGAGGAAGAAAGGTGGAAGGGTGCAAATATGATTTATTTGGAATAATAATTATGACGAGAGCTAAGAGTGAATAATAATCCTTCCTCTGTATTCACAAACACTTTTACACCCATAATCCCTTTTGATCCTCACCATCATAGCTAGCCCTGTGAGAAAGCTGAGCAAACATCATTATCCCCATTTCACAGATGAGGGAACAGGAAGTCACAGAGGAGAAAAGGAGAGTGATTTGCCCAAGGGCACTAGCCTAAACAGGACCAGGACCTGCCTCCTCCCAAGACCTCATCTAAGGCTCCAGGTCCGGTCCCCACTCTCAGTGACTGTCATCAGCTCTTTCTCCTCTCAGGTCAGCTCCTGCTAAGGCCCACAGTGAGTAAGTCTCTGTGTCCTGAAACCTAACAAAATGTTATCATTTGACAGTAACTTCTGTATAAGTCTTACACTCTGGTTATCTTTTTCAATCTTCATTAAAACTCTGTAAGGATCATTGGCCAACATAATTACAATTATGACAAACACTGAGACAGTGTTTTACAATGTGCTGGGCACTCTTGATATATTTATCCACTTAATGTTTATAACAGCCCTCTGAAGTAGAGATTATTATAGCTCCCTTTTATCAATAGGGAAAATGAGGCAGTGGAGGCTAAAGAACTTGCCCCAGGTCCCCAGCTAGAAGGCCATGTGACTTCTCCCTTCCCAGTCCCAGTATCTGCATTTAGTGAAGGCAATAATGTCCAACCCCCACGATGGTCAGGAGGGGCAATGAGATAACGTGGGGGAAATGCCCAATGCTGCAAGACAGAGATTAATAAGTGTTCGGTGAGGGTTGGCTATTACCCCCCCCACCTCTTCCACATTACAGAAAAGAAACAGTCTCAGACAGTTCACCTTACCTGCCTAAGGCTTCATGGAAAATAAAGCCTTATTATTAAGGCCTTAAACCTGAGACTGTCAAATCCCAGGTTTTCCCCCCAACCATCCTTCTGAGGATGACAGTCCCTCTATTCCTCACTGGCCCAAAGAGCCTTCTCTGTTGTTTCCTCAGTACTTTTGATCTCCTGTGGCCAGGACAGAAAAATCCGTAAAATGGGCTCAGGGCTGCAAGAAGAATCCAGCAGCTAGGTCTTCCAGCCTCCTCTTGACTTGCTGTGTGGTCCTAGCGCTCCTTGCTCTGAGGTCTCGTTGTTTAATAATGAGCATATATATCTTTATTTTTTTCTTTTTTTTTTTTTTGGTGTGACACGTTTTAATGCATGTATGTACATATTGGTTACAGAGAAAAAGAATTCGATTGATTTCACATATTTGACATTGGACAACCAATAAATGCCCTCCGCATTGCTACCACTAATGTAACATTTAATATCAGTGAGAAAACTGTGCTATTGTAGGCAAGTGTTCTGCCACTGAGTTACACTCCCAGCCCACCTGCTATTCTAAAGATAAAATAAATTTAAACAAGTTCTAATAAACAATGAGCACATTTCTAGAAATCAGGCAAGCCTAAAAGAAATCAGGCTATGAGAGTACTAGGCAAAGATGATCAAATGTGTCCTAGTCCACTTCATGGTGGCCTCAGATGGACAATTCAAGTCTCCATTTCCTCATGGGCGGAATGAGGAATATAATAATTTATACTTGTATAACACACAGTACCAATGACCATGAGTTGGGCCTGGATACAAGTGCTTTTGCATTTCTTGTTTAATCCTTATAACCACCCTGTGAGGCAGATACCATTCTTATTTCTTATTGATAGAAGAGGGAACTGAGATAAAGAGACTAAGTAACTTGCCCAAGACTATTCAGTGGATCGGGTGCCGATGGGGTCGCAGTGCCTAGATTTGGACCCAGGCACTCTGCTCTTTACTGCCTCCCAACTGCTTGAGTGCTTGGGAGGATTAAGGGAGTTGGCGCTGAGTTCTGGAGCACATTCTAGAACTGTCTTGGCAATGGGGGAGCATCCAACCCAGGCCTCCTCAGACCCCTCAAATCCAGGTGTTCCACATCAGAGATACCAAGGGCCCCTGTGTGTGTGTGTGTGTGTGTGTGTGTAAACACACACGCGTGCCTGTGCATACTAACACACCCTGCTCACCCATGCTCCTCAGCATCGTTTGATCTAGAGACAGCAGCCTCTCTGCCCACGCCCCCCTCCTGCTTCTGTCCATCTGTCTCCCTGGCCTGGGCCGCTCATTCCTCCCTCCCTTCTGCCCCCCCATGGTCCAGCCTAGCCCTCTCACCCCGACCTCTCTCCTCCACCTTCCCTGTCTAACCCACCTGCCCCCATCCCCATCTCCCTGCCTCACTGAGTCATTCATTCATTCATCTAACAAATAGGTACGATTTGTGCCAAGTTCTCTTCTGGATGCTGCTGGAGATACAGTGGCAAAGAAGACAGGCAGAGAGGTCCTGCCTCCAAGGAGCTGACACTCCAGAGGCGGGGTTTGGGGGCAGACAGACAATGAAAAATGGACAAGATAATTTCCAATTGTGCTAACTAGCAGGAAGGAGATAAATAAGAAGATACAGAGAAACAGGTGCGGGAAAGACTTCAGATAGGGTGATCAGGGAGGGCCTTTTTAGGGAGATATTTGAGTTGAGCCCTAAAAGAGCCAACTGTACTATAATGTAAGGGATACGGCACTCAGGGCAGAGGGAACAGTGTTCTGGGCAGAGGGAACCGCATTCTAGACAGGGGGAACAACATCTGCATATGGGAAAGAGACCCTTAAGACCCATTTGGTGTGTTTGAAAGGCAGAAAGAAGCCGGGGGCCTCTAGAGGAGATCCACTCACTGCTGGGGTTCTCTTGGTGTCTGTCTGCACCCTCCTTCGTCTCCTCCTTCTCGCTTCTCTCCTCTTCTCCTGGCTTCCCACTCAATGTCCCTGCACGTACCCCCTCTTA